CCTTTTTTTTTTTTTTTTTTGGAGCCATATCTGTGAACCATGCCTGACACTCAATCCACCTTTGACTTCTGAGTAGATGAAACATTTTTCAAACAATGTTGAGCTACAGTTTCTATACCTCCTTCCCCCATTTCATGGTTTTCCTATTAAACACATCTTTTTTGTTGTTTCATGCTTTTTTTTTTTCTTTGGTACTGGGGATCAAACTTGGGACCTTGTGCTTGAGAGGCAGGCAGCGGCACCACTGAGCTAAATCCCAGGCCCTTTTTCTTACTTTTTTATTGTTATGATTAATTTTGCAACTAGCCTATTCATTGCTTTTTTAAAAAAATGTTTTTTCATGATGAATTTATCAGCATTTGGTCAGTTCCTGAAAATCATGTGCTTCTGCCGTTTTGGTTTTCTCCTCTGTTCTTCAAAATATCCAAACACACACTGATGCCTGTATTTTATAAGCTGCTATAGGAGGAAACACTATTAAACTTAAAACTAAAGATGTAATTCAAGCATGAGAGAAAGGATTGTATCATCTTTAATGCAAGTAGCAAAGAATTCCTCTTAGGAGCATTCCTAAACTTTCCTGTCAGCCTGAAACTGGACCTGTGGTATCAATTGTTTACCTGCTGCAAGATCATTTGACAGGATCAACTGCCTTTTACACCATGATCTCTTGTCCCCAAGGGAATGACTGAAGCTATACTTGGGAAATGGGATATAGGGCTGCATAGCTACTCTTGCAATAGACACATAGAACAGAATGCTTGTTAACAGTGATTTGTTGGTCATGAGGAATTTCGCAATGGAGAAACAAAGAAAAAAACCAGGAATGTACAGGATCTTGCTCTGTTGCCCAGGCTGGCCTCAAAACTCATGATTCGCCTGCTTTGGCCTCCAAGTAACTAGAATTACAGGCATGCACCACCATCCTCAGCTACAAAAGTCTTTTTGTTGGAGAGCAAGGACTGGATGTGTGTTTGCTTATTATTATGTCAACAGCAACTATTTCATTTTTTAAACTTTTTAATAATTATGTAATTTTATTGGTACATTTAAGGTATACAATGTAATGACATTCATCATTGGAAATTTGCACCCTTACATAATCCATCTTGGTTCTTATTCTTTCCCCATTCCCCTGCCCTTCCTTCAACCCCTCCACCCCTCCCTGTCTACAAAGACTTTGCTTCCATTTTTTCTTTTTTGCATGTTAATTCTGTTCCCATCTTTCTTTTCCCAACTATTTCAATGCCTAGCTCACAGTAGATGCTTAATAAAAAATGTGTTTGGTGAATGAAAAGAAAAAAACAGATAAATTATCCCTGGAGGAAATTTGAATGGTAAACTAGATAATACCAAAACAAATATTGCTCTGGCCAGTAGGTGGAGCCACTGTGTGTCACTGTTGGGTGGCTCAGATCACAATACACAGGTTCTCCAGTCACAGATCTGAATTTCTACTTGCCTTCAAGCAATGTGCTCAGACACCGTGTAACAGGAGGTGGTTGGGGCAGAATGTCTGCTTCCCGGCTCTCTGAATTGATCGTAAACCAGTGTATCAGGCAGCTTTATTTGTTCTAAACGCTGTGCTGTTACTCAGGTCACCAAAACTTCCACTCACTGGCAGGTATGTTATCTCCCTTCAGAAGGAGGCTGAAGTAGAGGAAAGCACAGCATTGTAAACACTTTACTGAGGCCTATGGGGGAAAATGAAGAGGAATTTCTAGATCAGGTCAAGAGTCATGTGACTTACTTATACAGCACAATCTAAACTACACTGAGTGTTTAAATTTTAAAAAATTTAAATTATTACAGTAAAAGACATG